CTGTATGATGGGGGGCAAAAAAATCTGCTACCTCACTAGCTTCATATGGTGCTTTACAATCTGTGAGTGAGATGTGATGCTTGTGAGATGTGAAGCTGGCAAGCAGGGCTTCATGCCTCACAAGTTTGTTGTTAACTGAGACACAGCACACAAGCTGTGGATTGACCATTGGTCTGACTACAGTGGTCTACAAGGCTTTAAACAAGTTGTAAATGCATGGCATGTAGATACTTGGAGGCTGATATATGATGTGGGGTTGGCTTCCTAAAGTTAGCTTGTGTCAGGCTAACCCTGTGTCTGTCTTTGGAAAGGTAACTGATTTCCTCAGTAGGGAGATGGCTTCGTGGTGAGAGGTTAATATGATGTTGCATTACATAAGGGGTTTGTTTTTCTGGAGAAGACAAAGTATAGCCCAGCTGATGTAGGTGAAGAGCTGGATAACAGAGATGTGATGGTGGGAGGTGTTGAAAGAGGAGAAAACCGCTGAGGTTCCTTGGAGGTGATGTTGGCTCCTGCTTTCATTGAGGACAGGGGAACAAAAGGCAGGAGTGTGCTCATGGGCTCCTCTGCTGGCATGGTGCTGGAGCTGTGGGAACGCAGTGTGGGTAAAGATGGCAAGGGGAAATGCTCCAGTAGCAGAGCCAGGAGTCTAATGAAAATTGGGATGGATGCAAATGTGGGTGTAATAGGGCTTTTGCTGCCAGCTGGGAAATCAGGTCAATCAGAAAGGCCCTGGTGGATAGAAATGCTTGGTGTAATGCTCAATCATGAGGTGAAAACAGGCCCTCCAGGCTGATGGGGCTGTGGTAAAGGCCAGTGTGATCTCAGGCTGGATGTCGTGGTGTTTCCAGTGTAACTGCAGGGTTGCTGGTGCTGTTACACAAGCGAGACTTGTGGGGACTGCTGTGTGTTTTCAGCCACTCTTTTTCAAGAAAAAGGGACTTAAATAGGCTGATGAATAAAATAGCCATTTTCTATCGCAGTGTTTATCACAGTGGTCCTTCTTGTATAGGTCACCAAGTGTGAGTGTCAGTTGTGCTGGGTCTGAAACCAGAAGAAAAACAACCTTGCTATCAGGACTCTGCCTGAGCAATATATCTGCATCATTTCTAGGACTTGAGTTAGTATCTCTTCAAGGCACTTGAGACAATTTGCCTTGTACTTCACTGCTTGGTACAGACGCGCTGTCTTAGAAGAGCTGGCCTTGTGTAACTTATAAATTATAGCTGGGTGGATCTGGCCCTTGGTTTTAAAAGAGGAAGGGAAAAATGCCAGGAAAGGAGGAGAGCTGTTAAGCAAAACCAGTTTTGACACAAGAGAAGATGGATATAAAATGCTTGTGAGTACATTTGGGTAAAAAATGGAAAGAACAGAGGGGTTCCGGTGCAGTGTTTCAGTATGAATTGGCAGGGTAAAGCCCTAGCTACTCCTAAGGTGGACTTTGATCGGTCTGTAGAAGATACAGTATGACATCTCTGTGGTGCAAGGATGCCTGGCCCAGCAGGACCCTCCAAACAGACATGAAGTATGAGAAGAAAGTGAGTATTTAAACAACCACTACCCTCCACCCCCACCAAATAAAATGAGCAATCACATCTGTGTTAGTGATGCATCTCATATGGTCCCCATTAGAAGTTGGAAATGAGTTTAGGTGCATACGTACACGGTGAGCAGTTTGGGATTTGTCAAGTATGGTATTGGTCTTGAAGCTATTGCGTCTTGCAGAAGAGCAGCTTACCTCAGTAATAACTGAGGAATGCCATGGGAATATCTATTTAGAGATGTTTGCAGGGAGGAGGCAGTAACCCACTGACTGCAATTCATACCTCAGAGCCTGATTGCAGAGATCAGGGTAGGGCTGGGAGTTGTCACATCTTTACTTGGCATGAAGCCAGCACCTGTGTTCCTGCCAGGGTAATGAACCGAGGCAGAGGACAAGGGAAGGTCACAGTCTTCAGCACCAATTGGGAGGATATAAGATTTCTAGGGCAAACACAACCCTGGAAAGAAAAGAGGGGGAACTAGCTGAGAGACTGAAGGACATGAAGAGGGACTTGTTTTAGGGGTGGAGTTTCTTGGTTGGTTTGCTTTCCTTTGCAACCATTGCCAATTTTGCAATCACAGCTTGAATCCTTGAGCTTTCAGAATAAGATGTGTTCCTGTTTTGTCTTTAAAGTGGATTCAGGTGAACCCAGCCAGTGCAAAGTGACACTGTTCTTTCCAGAGCAATAGGGAACCAAAGAAAATGGTTTTTCTGGTGTACCTTTGAGGTGCCTGTGAACCAAGACTAATTTGCCACTTCTAGGAGCAAGGGTGCAACTCCTGGCAAGTTGAAAAATCAGATACAAAAGGGGAAGAGCCATTTCTGGAAGTCTCTGCAAAGGGAACTAACTGTCTGTGTAGCTTAAAGGACTCAAAATTCCTTGCTGACCTGTGTACTCAATTCAAGATGATGCTATTTCTCTGTACTGCACTCTTACATAAGGCAGCTGCTGTTGTTCTATACATAAGTGTGTGTGTATGTGTTTACTTCCACTGTCGCTTCCCTTGTGTCTCACTTTATAGGTGTTGTGTATCTATGTCAAACTGACAGCGCATAGATTTAGATTAGATATTAGGAAGAAATTCTTCACTACGAGGGTGGTGAGGCCCTGGCACAGATTGCCAGGAGAAGCTGTGGCTGCCCCATCCCTGGCAGTGTTCAAGGCCAGGTTGGACACAGGGGCTTGGAGCAACCTCCTCTAGTGGAAGGTGTCCCTGCCTGTGGCAGGGGGTTGGAACTGGATGAGCTTTAAGGTCCCTTCCAACCCAAACCAGTCTGTGCTTCAATGTTAAATAACGTACTAAAGCACATCTGTTTCAGGAAGCTCATAGGCTTTGTTTGGAGGCTGTAACAGAGGTTGTGGAGTTGTATTTACAGACTAGTGTAATGTCACATCTGGGGGATTTGGCCATGGGGGGGCCCCCCTAAGACCCTTGTACCCCAGTGCTGAATCATCAGGAAATCACACCTCTGCGTGTCATTGGGAACAAGCTCATGTCTCTTTCTGCCACTTCTAGGTTGCTGCCCACATGGTTTGAGTGTCAGGTCAAAAATAACCCTGACTTTTTTTAGCAAACACAATCAATAAAACAAGAGCCAATCTGGCCACCGCCTCCTCCCCAGCTGTGCTTGTTCCATAGTTCCTGGCGCGGGCCTGCTACATCCCTCCCCGAAGCTCACTGCTTGGATGCTGTAGCTTCAGCATGACTGGGTGGTAAACCCACAGCATCCCATGCCTGCTTCTTCCCATGTTCGTTCTTCCTATTGGAGGACTCTATTAGTATGTAGGTGGTGGAATGGGAAATGACTTCAACTTGTGTTTCTAGCCTTGCTCAATCCTATGGCCCAGTGCTACCCTGTCTCAGAAGGGTTTCAAGCGAGCCTTTGGATCTCTTGACTGATTCCTCCCAGTCTGTGTTTTGTTCTGCAAGTGTTCGCAGGGGCCTTAGCCCTTGACAGGGAATACAAAATGTCTGTAATAATGTCCTGGTTCTCATTTTGTCTGGGACACAGATGATCCAAGCCAACGAGCAGGTCATTGAGGACGAACTGTAACTTCAACTGTCATGCAGCAGCCAGTTGGGAGCTTACTCTGCGTCCTTACAGTAACCCCTCTGGGTATGCAGGCGATTATGGAACATGTGGAAAGCAGAGGTGGCTCTTGCGGGTCTCTGCTTTTCTTGGATCTGCATTGTGAGAGCAGAGAAACATGTTTAGATTTAGTCCAGGCTAATTTTAGCTGGATTTCTCTTTCTTTAGCTGGATGGTATTTGGGATATGGCTCAAACAGGTCTCTGTACTTCTGTCACGCTCATTCATCTGGCCTTGTGCAAGCACAAGGCACAGCGAGTGCTGGAGAAGGAACATGCAGCCCCTGTGACTGCTCTGGAAGTGCTCAAGAAGTCCCTTTTCTGCTTACTCTGGACCACTATGCGGGGTCCTGCAACCTTCTGGAATCACAGAATCATGGGATGATTCTCAGTGTTGGCATATCACCCCAGCCCTGTATTGCTTGGAAATACTTCCCCTTGCCAAGGCCAAAGCTAACTATTGTGTCGAGGCAGATGTGAGCCTGGGTGCACGTGTTCATGTTCAAAGTTGGGCTTTCTCACATACTGTCTAACGGGACCAGCCAGATGTTTTTCTCTGTTTTAGAGAGGTCCACCTCCACCTGCTCCCCAGCAAAGAGCCTCCTGATAATATTTGTGCTTTCTGGTGGCAGAGTGTCCAGCTTTAACCTGTGAGGAAGCCTGAATTGGCCAAGCACTGCAGGGGGGAGGAGAACTGAGCTCCTTCTGCACCATACAGCATTGCAGCTTGTTAGTGGAGATCTGTGGCTGCAGCCAGCCAACCCCATTCCTGTGCAGCTGGTAATAGGGGACCCCATTCTCTAGGGCTGTCGGTCTGTCGCCTTCCCCCGGCTCTAGTTTTCCTGAGTAACAATCCCACAGTGACAGGTCTATTTCTGGTTTTGTTCTTTATAACATACCTGCCAGACTGCCCCGGGCAACTGAGCAATTCACAATAAAGCACAGTTTCCAAACTAAGTTGGGTGCTTTCCTGTCAGCCACACTTCCAGCCAGCAAAGGACCCTGTTTGTGCACACCAGTGAGAGACTGGATAACTATATGATATTTTTTTTCCATATAGGCACTAAGTTGCTGTTAAGCAGTTTTATTTGCTTTCACTCCTTTTGTGTGAGCTGCCTCAGTTGTGTCTTTGTTTTCTTGATGTGTGCATAGATGGCACTGACTTGTACAAGGATGTTCAATGGGTTGGTTGCACATTGCGTGCTTTAAACTGTGGGTAAAACCATTTAATTTGGCTTTTCCAAAATGCTGGGAAAGCAGATTGAGGCTGGGTGGTAGACAACACGGTCTTTCTCTGTGCCATCCCTTGCATGGGTAGCACAACCATCTGGCCGTGCTACAGCTGAGTCTTCCCTTCTTCTCCACAGACACATAGAGAACTGGAAGAACTTGCAGACGCTGAACGCTGTTGACATGGAGCTGTACACGGGACTCCAGAGGCTGTGAGTATGTCCCGTGTGTGTGTGTGAACAGGACTGGGCAAGCCCTTCCTTCCAGCAAAGAGTTGTGGCTTCTCTCCATCAGCAGTCTCCATGCCATCACGTTCAGAGCATGTTTAAGCTACTGGCTCTGACATATTTTGCTGTGAGACTCTGCAAAATGGAGATGAAGTGCTTTTTGGTCCTTCTGGGTCTGTTGGAAGGGAAATTGCTAGCTCCTGGCAGCTCTGTCAACACACATCAGCCCTGACCTCTCTCCTCCCCTGCTGTTCTGATTCTGGGCTCGTGCATTGTTCTAACTCACTTCAGCCCCACAATGCAAAATTCCAGCTGTTTCCACCAGTCCTTCAGGGCTGGGCCGTTGGTCCTCATTTAGTGCAGTTGCCATCGTGGTGCTGCTGCGTGATAAGGGAATTGCATTTCCCTGCACAGTGCTCTGAGCATCAGGACAGGTCAACTGTGGGTGTCATGGAAGGGAAACTCAGGTTCGTGAGATTGAAGGGACCTGCCAGATGCTTAGGAAGCCTGGCCAAGTGAGGATGCTGCTCAGTTCCTTCTCCTGTATCCTCCTGGAGCTGGGACCAACCTGGGTGCTGCTTGTGTGAGATGTACAGTGCTGCCCAGGGTTAATCAGAAACACTGCTGCTGTGTGCTACCGGGAGCTTTCCATCAGGTACAGCTCATGTGTGGGCTGGGGGAGAGTTGTATATCACTAAGCACTCAACCCAAGCCCAGCAAGCTGAACTTTTAATACACACATACCTTGTAAGCAGGCTGGCTGCTGTTCTCATCTCTCCTATGAAACCAGCAACAGAGTTGAGCATACATTTGTCTGCAGCAGATATTGATAAATCCTGGTCATGTCTCCATAAATCCTGAGAGAGCTTCTCCAAAATGGGCTGGGAAGAGGATTCCCCCTTCAGCATCCATAGTTCCCTACACAAAATACTCATGCCTCCTTATCAGTGCTGCAAGCAGATGGGTTTTCCCTTAGGTTTGAGGGAGGGGAGATGGTGGTGCTAGGGTTAGGTTTGTTGCAGGAGCAGGCAGTGCTGCCTGTGAACACAGCGGGAGAGGAGCAGATGCTCTGTGCCACCCCAGCAAGACTCTGTGGATGTGGGGGGAGAGTCTCACCCAGCAGCCACTCTGCACTGAGCCTGTGCTGTCGTCATAGCAGATGAAGCTGAAAAGCCCAATTTCCTCTTTGCTTGTAACTAATAGAGGCTGTCTGGGAAGAGATGTGCCTCCCCAAAGGGGTGGAATCAGTGGCTCCCAGTGCAGCTCAGGTGCTGAGTGCAGGGTTTTAGAGCACTTGTCCGCCCTGACTCCATTGCTACCCTTCTGCATCTCTTTGCAGGACAATCAGGAACTCAGGACTACGAAACATCCAGCCACGCGCCTTTGCCAAGAACCCTCACCTGCACTACATGTGAGTGCTGGCAGCTCCTGCCCTCTTTTCCTTCTGCTCCCTGTGGGAAGGTGATCTCCAGAGTGCCTGTCAAGGAGAGCAATGGGAGGGAAGGGGTTGTTAGTGGGAAAAGGGAGGGAGAGGGAAAAGCAAATATCCAGGAAAATGCAATGGGCTGTGATGCAGGATGGGGCGAGATCCTGCTGGGTTTCTACTAACTGCCCTGGCTTTGATGGCTTCTCTAACGAGCTCAGCTTCTCATTGACTGGTGCACATCTCCCTTTCTGCAGAATTTGGGAGCTGGTCACATGCCCCAGCAGACAGCCACAGCCTGCCCTGCTTGTTAGCTTTGGTGCTTCCCAGCATAAATCCTTAGGCACAGTGCTGCCAGCTCTGCTCCTAATTACTGACCACTTAAACTGGTGTCTGCAGCCGGCCTGGGGTAGGGATGTTTTGTGCCAGAGAGGCTGGAGTCCTGTTGTCATGGGACATGGCACAAGTGTCCAGCTGCTGGTGCATTGTTAGCCAGCAAATACAATGACCCTGGGAATTCCAACATCCTTGAGGCCAAGGACACTGATTTCTGTATATTTAATTTTCTCAAGGTGATAAAGGAAAGCCTGAATTTCAGGCCGGTGTGCAAGCTGCTCCATGGGCTTGAAATACGTTGCCAAAGTGGCTGTGTCCAAGATCAAACCCCTCTCAGCTCTGGTATAGATAAAAAAGGTGAAAAGTGTGAAAGGCTCTAGCCTAGGGTATGGGCTGATGGGCTGGATGGAGAGTGTGTATTCCTGCTTCTTGGAAATCAATGCTTGTGGCTTCTTCCATGAAAAATGGCCATAATGTGCATCCATTTGAGCCCATGGATGCATGTGGCCATCAATACGGGCATGTTCTTGGGAGAGGGAGATGGATGCGACTTGCAGAGCAGGATAGATTTGTCTTTTGATGTTTGCTCAGAGATGATGTGAACCGAAAAACCCCAAAAGCTTCCTTTTTGGAAAACCTGGTACAGTTGCTAAGTGACAGTAAAGTACTTGCTAAATAGGAGAGCTGCAGTACCAAGGGGCAGGAATAGTTAAGGGCTTTGTGAACAAACATGGGGTGTTTCAAAGTTAAAATGCATATTTTGTCATAATAAGCCCTCATTAATGCTGACTGCTGGGATTTTCCTGATTTCTGTGCTTTGTTATTTTGATTTATAGCATTTGTTTTGTGTTTTCTGTAGTTGTTTGTTATTGGGAACTTTCTCTCTGAATTCTTCTTTCTCTGATGCTTTTTTTTTTTTGGGGGGGGGGGGGGTTGTCAATTGTGCAGTTGCTGTTTCTGTATCTAGCTGATAAAACGAATAACACTTCCTGATGAAATTAGTTTGGATGTTATAGTTTAGAGGGACACGTATGCTCATTTTGAGGCTGAATGTGGTGTTAATATGTACACATCCAAGTAGTGCTGCTTTTTCCAAAAGTGTTCATTTTTTTTGTCTTTTGATATTACTTTTGGGACTGGGGGGAGGGAAAAACCTCTTACATCCATCTTATGTCAAGAGTTAAGATTGGTATGTGGTGATGAAATATGTGTTTGTTTACTGCTTGGGCTATATAAGATTGATCATGTTCTTAACATCTTTCTTTCCTTGCCTTGTGAAGCTTGAGGCAAGTAAGTATATTATTTGGTTAGTGTTTGCTAGTGCGTTTTGATGCTCTTCCTGGGACTTGGCGGCGTGGATGTTTGCAAGGTGGATGTCACCCATGGTGGATGCCGGGCACCTAGGGATGGAGACCTGGTGTTTGCAGGGATGGTGACTCCCTCTTGCTCACCAGAGGCTTTTGGGCCACAGTGCTATTGTTTCCTTGCATCCGTTCTTCTGGGGTGGCTCCCAAGGTTTTGCACATCCTGCCAAGTGCTACCCGGGGTCCCCGCCATGGCACTGGGCAAGCACATCGAGTGCCTCCTTGGCTGCTCCATAGCTGCTGCCTCCCAGGGAGCTCAGCTCACCAAAGGCCTGACATTTTCTGCAGCTGCTGCACGTAGGAGCCAGGGATAAAGGGATTAATGGAAATGTCACTCTGCTGTAAGTCTTGGGCTGCTGTAACCAGGTACAGTAGCCGACAGGAGTGTGGGATACCGTCCCAATCTCCTTGTGCCGGGGCTGGCTGCAGCTGGATGAGTGTGTGGGCTGGGGATGGTGTTTGAGTTACAGCTATGTGGTGTTGCTGCTGCTCTGATTTTCCTTCTTTGCTCACTCGTTTGGATGGTCGCAGGTGGAATTGAGTCAATAAGATAGCAAATGTGTCTAATAAATAACAGAGAGGTTCACTGCCAGGGAGGGTTAGCACAGGGAGGCAGAACCTTGGGCTAGACCTTTACAGTGTGCTACAGCAGGGTCTGAGCAGCAGCAGCAGGCATTTTTCCACATGAAGCTTGTTCAAGGTTTTCTCCTCTCAGATGGGACAGATAGCTCTGCCTTCTCCTAACAACTTCTATTTCTGTCCCTTCCTCTGTGCATGCATTTGTCTTCAGCCCCCAGCTGTGCAATCCCTTTACAGCGTGCTACAGCAGGGTCTGAGCAGCAGCAGGCATTTTTCCACATGAAGCTTGTTCAAGGTTTTCTCCTCTCAGATGGGACAGATAGCTCTGCCTTCTCCTAACAACTTCTATTTCTGTCCCTTCCTCTGTGCATGCATTTGTCTTCAGCCCCCAGCTGTGCAATCACAAGCAGATCTTGTAGCCAAGATTTGTGGAAGTTTGTGTTAGCAGGTGATGCAGGTGAATGTAGGAAATGTTTGGTATTGACAGAAAACCTCAGTCTTTGGCTTGAGGCTGTACAAGAAGACTTTAGGATTATATGGTTCCTAAATTTCAGACACATAAACCATCTGAATACGTATTTATTGTGTCACTGTGTTTAGCACAGCTTACTGAGGAAAAAGTCTAATGTACTTTCACTAGGTCCTTCTAATAACACTGGAATGCTTGGGCCAATCTATTTGGACTTGGTAGAAGATTACAAGTTACAATGATATCAAGTTCCTACGCTCATCATGAAAATAAAGGAATCATAAAGAGAAGTTTTTTTGGACGACATAGTTTAGTGTGTGGTGACCCCGCTCATGGCAGGGGGGTTGGAACTAGATGATCTTAAGGTCCTTTCCAACCCTAACTGTTCTATGATTCTAAGTTGTGGTAGTGCCTTGTGAGGAAGAATGCAACATTACCACGTTCCTCTTAGGCACTGGCAAGTCCACAGGAGAGCTCAGGTTCAGAGCGCACCAGGAATCAGTGCACAGGAGAGGACAGGATCTGTTTGCTGCTGGCCAAAGCATCCACCCTTTGCTGTCTGTGGGATAGTAAAGCTGTACATGCAGGAGAGTAGGCTGCCAGCTGCAAGCATGTAGGTGATGCTTAGAACCAGACAAGTTGACATTTGCCATGCCTGAGTCCCCTTTTACTGGGAAGCAGGTACTTAAGAGACTGTGATTCCCTTTAAATGCTTTCCTGGGCAGCTGCCTACTCAGTCAGGAGGCGCTGCCTTGTGTTTGCAGAGGGTAATTGTGCACACCTTATTTATTGTGTAGTAAAGAAAACAAATTAAGGCTGTGTAATTATAGAGGCAGGCACACTTTTAAATAAGGCTTAAGTAGTCAGATTTCTATTTAGAAAATTAATAATCGCCATTTCTGTCTGCGTTCGAGACTTTTCTTAAAGTGTCTTCTGGAGGTTTATACACACTCTAAATTGGTTTGTGGGCTTGCCAAGACACAGCTCCCATCAAAGAGCACTCTCAGCACTGTCTGCCAGAGTAAACTTCCTCTTCCAGTCTTCACCCAAGGGTCTTGAAGATGGAGACCCTGGAGTTCTTTGTGCTGAGTGTAACTTGCTTTTGGGTATTGCATGGTCACATCACCTGCTGCTTCACAAGCATTTTTATCTGTGTGATCCTGTGAGTCTTTTTCTCCCCAGAATGAGGGTTGGAGAGGATCTGGTGCTGGCATGAAAACACAAGAACTTGTTTTGTCTGGTGAAAGACTGAGCTGGCTGACCTATGGGCTTGTTTTCAGAGGCACATGTGAATTGTGACTAATCTGGACCATCCCAGAGCCTCCCTGTAGGCTTTATTGTCTTCTGAATGGGGTTAGCTTTGGTATTCTGGTTGGGTTCAAGGCAGTTGTGCTGTGTCATATGAACCCAGTGCCCTGGTACTGGAGGTAGCTTGTAGCTACCAACTGAGATGGGAATTCCCAGACATGTGTTTTGGGTTTAGGATTTGATATCAAAGAAACGGGGCTGCATTCCCTGGAAGTTGAGGTGGCTGAGGCAGCACAAGGTTGGTGAGTTTCTCTCTGCCCTCTTCAGTGTTGTTTTAGGACAGTACTTGAAGCCCCCCCCCCCCAGCAAATGGGGCCTATGAGCTATTCAAGGGCTACAGACGACTGTCTTGCAAGGCTGACAAGCTTCCCCTTCTTTGGTTTGTGTGTTTGGGAGCTTGAGATCTTACACTAAATAAATAAACTAAATATCAGGTGCTGAATTGTTGCAGGTATAGCACCGTTCCCTCTTGGTCATGGCTTGAGGGTCATTTTCCCCTGATTTGTGGTTAATGATCTATTGCCTTGCTCTGAAAGAGCCGTTCTTGCATATGAAGCAGGGTTAAACTGTTTTGCTCTCTTCTATAACCAGCTCCAGGCCCTGTGACTGCCTGCAACTCTGTGCTTGATTCCAGATATCCTATTACCCTTCCTCCTTCCTGGTGATTTGCCCTTTTATCACTGCACTGCTGTCATACCATCCTGGCAGTCTCCTTACCCAAACTGGCATGTGTTAATTGCTTTTGATTTCCCATCTACACTCTCAAGTCACTGCAGCCTAACAAGTCTGTGTATATCAGCCAGTCTGTGTATATGACTATACGCAAGCTCTTAGCTCAGTGAAGGGTGAAGTAAAAAAGCATTACCTAAACCACCTCCTTAATAGTTGAATGCATTTTATTTTGTATTTGTGAAGGACTAAATAGGAACTGT